GCTGGCAGTCCTCCGGGATCCTTTGGCCCTCGGGATTGTCAACGATCTGACGACCTCGGGTTTCGCTGAGAGAAACCCGAGAAGTATATCTCAGCGGACAAAACACCACAGCTCGACACGTCGAGCGCCGAACCGCGATTTCAGCCACGTTGCCTTACAGGGACGATCGCGATCGAATCTCTAAATCGAGAGGTGCCACGACGGCAGCGACGTGGCCACGCGTCGCACCCCTTGTCAAATTTCCTTGCGCGGGAAAACGGCGCGCCGATGAAAAATGTAACCAACGTCCACGCGGCGAAAATCGACTTGCTAGGGCACGTACAGGTGTCGACCACCTAGAGAGTCACAGATCGCGGGAAATTGGACCCGCCGCATTTAGGGATGTCGGTGTCACCTGAAGATCCAACCGTAGCAGCAAGACCCACGCGTCGTAATCTGATCGGGCCCAAACATGTCTAGATGAAGAGAATCCAAGACCCAGGGCGTCGGCGTCGATCAACCGGATGCCACGCGGGTATGCACATGTCGATAACGTTTGCACGGGAAAGCAGGCCGCTACGGCATTTCTGGAGAGTGGACCTAGTGATTGGCCAATAGCACGTGGCGCACGTGAATTCCACCATGGCAAGGCACAGGCAGGGGGGTCTTTGAGTGCAGAGCGGGGTGACACTAGCCATGCATCGATCGTGGCACGTCATACACATGGACAGCGGTGCTTGGAAAGAGGCCTGCATGGAGCGCGGCAGGTGCGCAGTCGCTCGCAACCATACCCCTCCTTGACCATGCACAATGTCTCATTCCGCTTGTCAGCTTCGTGTTTCTCTCATGCTGCTGTGCACCATCTGGCACTTAGATTTTTTTCCGACCCTCGCTATCTCTGCCTGTGTCGGTTACTCGAGCGCCGACACGACTGTCTCGTCGGCACACTTTGCGTCGACCTGGCATAGACGAATCAGGTCGGTGTTGAGGTCGACCACTGGTCGTCGAATTTGCCTTAGGAGGATCTAGGCCAGCATCTTGTAAAGTCGGAGGGGTTCGAATAGATCATGACGGTCCAACACCACCTTACTGAGTCGGCGATGCATGGCCAGAGGACGGCCTAGTGCTCAACAGCCGCAACCCATCCCACCTCATGCCGATACTGTAGACTCCGATATCAAAGCGCAGCTGCAACGACTCGAGATCGCCGCTGAGTTAGAAGCACTTGAGCGGGAATTCGAGGAAGACGAACGCAGGACGCTTAGGGCGTACACCGCACCCGTGATTCAATACCGTCTCTGGTGGTCCAACCTTTACCTCGCACACGGCCGAAGGTAGAGCAACATACGAGCGGTCATGGCCGACGTCGACATGTCCGACGTCGGTCCCCCAACCGACCACAATCTGTCCTCTGCCCCCGAAGAGACGCTGAAGTTGCTATACGATCTTGACAAACTGACTCAAATTCCGAAAGGGGAGTACACCAAGGACATACCGAAACCGCCGATAGGGGAGTTTACGAAGAAGTCGACCCCGACGCCAGATGGGCAGCCTGGACCTTCGTTGGTGCCGGCCGGCGCGGAAAACCAAGGTGATGACGACGACGGCGAGGAAGAGAGCGACGACGAATTCGACGAGCGTCCTCTGCATAGCACAAATCCGCGCACCTTGGAAGAACGCCTTAGGCAGGAGTATGAATACATACATGACCTGCTCGAACAGGACGAGGATGAGGATGAGCAGAACATGGCGGTGCCACGCGAACAGTGGAAGGCGACAGTCTTCGTAGTGGACGACATGGTGTACTCCAACATCGACGTGCTCGTCATGGACGCCCTACGCCACCTACAAACCTTGGAGAAAAAGAGCATGCTCAAGCTGTACACCTCGTTCATCTACCACTACAAGAGGTGGGCGGCTAGGATGCTGAAACAAATACGCGACAAGCTACCCCATGAGCACCGACTTAGGCACGTCGACAAGATCGGCCACTACATCCGCGCCAACAAGAAAAAGGATTGGTGCAACAAGGCTGTGGTCCCCCGACGGTACATCTGGCTGCACGGCCCTAGGGTCACCGAAACTCGGCTGCGCGCCTACGTGAAGCAAATGAGCCATGAGTGTAACCTCATTGTTGACCAGACCGAGGAGGGGAACAATGCCACGCGAACCGCGCCTGTGCGATCGACAACAGTGCACACGATCCTCGGGCGCATAAAGGCATGCCAGATGGCAGCGAGGGTGGAGGCGACGCTGTACTGGGAGAAGGAGCTGGGCATGATGAGGGAGATCTCGGTGGTCAGATCGGAGGTGCAGTTCAATGCACTAAGAACGAGAGGGACATCAAGTAAGTTGGTCGACACCTCGAACCTCAGTCTTCATCACAGTGAAGTCGACTCAGTCTAATAGATTTACCCCACGGATTTGTGTTCAGGAATTGTGCCGACCGTCGACGTGGCACCATCGGCGATACCTACACCGCCGAACAGTTCCGCCAGATCATGATGAAGGTGCTGCCGACATGGGCGGCGGCGGCGTGGAACCCGCAAGCAACCACTCCGTCGCAGACGATGTAGAGATTCTTGCTCGTCAAGGTGCTCACGCTACTCTCCCACCACTCTCTCCTGCACGGCGCCAGCATCCGCGAGATCACGCTACCCGACGTCTTCTTGTATTGACTGGAGAGCACCTTGTCGGTGAACCCGGATAACCAGCCGGTCGTCATGGTGATCGCCGCGCGTAACTCGAATACTTCCAAGGATGCCCGTCTTCAGCAGAGCTACGCGCCGCGACACTTGGAAGCAGAGTTGTGCACCGTCGGCAAGACCGGCCTGTGGTTGCACTTCATCCTCGACCAGATCGATCAGTTTTCCAGCGTCGACTTCCTTCCGCCGCTTGACACCACTGAACGCGAATGCTGGTACAAGAAGCATCTCTTCTTTGCCAAAAACGACAAGGAGCAAGACGAGCTCCCCTCTGCTAGCCACCAACGTTGGACTCGGCAGATGTGGACGACCAACAACGTGTTTTGCAAATGGAACGTGCACGCCGCACGCGCCGGAGGTGCGCAGGAGCTAGCCATCGAAGGGACGCCGCGCGCTGAGATCGCCGAGCTGGGGCACTGGGCTCTCGACAAGATGACGCGTGCGTACATCATGGCCATTCCCGTTGGGGTGGTGATGCGGAAAGCCGGCTACTCGGGATTCAAGCAAGACTACTTCTTGGGGCGCAGCAGGGTCGAGCCCTCCAAAAAACTCCTAGACATCCTCGCCGAGCACATCTTCCCCGGCGTGGATGCTATGCTGCGCGATATATGTTAAGCGACATCGACAATGTCATTCAGTCGTCATGGCCTAGTTGGCTGCCCAACACCCTACTAACCTACATCATTTGCCGACTTGCAGGCGGAAATGCGTGCTGTCAAGGGGAGCGACGCCGACAAAGCCGCCGTGCACTTCTTGCGCACCCTCCAGATGTTCCGACGCATCATCGCCGAGGACCTCGCGGTGAAGCTCGTCCGCACACCGTGGCACCCGTACGTCCAAGGTTCCAAGCTCTGCCAGATTGCCCTCTTCCAGCACTGGGCGAAAAGGGTTGAGTCAGTCGACACCGAGACGATCAAAAAGCGCCAGGACCCGACACAGATTCAGCCAGAGGTGAGGTGCGACTATGTCGGCGTCGTTCTGATACCGGTGAATTCTAAACTCATTTCGCCTTTCCGCCTACCACTGCAGGAAATCTCCGTCCGCATGGACACACAGTATCATAACATGTCCCTCAAGGAGACGCTGAAGTATGAGATGGAGCGCTCCAGAAGATCGACCTTCAGGAGAGGATCGAGATGCAAAACGATACCATCGCGACGCTGACCGCCGAGCTTGCTCGACTCACCGAGGCACTCCGTGTGTCAGAAGCACGGAGGATGCCAGCGGCGCCGCTATCGGCGAACGAGCAAGCGCCGAGCGAGGGTGGCTCGGCGGATTCGGCGAATACGGGGGCCGGAGCCAAGGAACGGGATGATAGACCCCCGAAACCCCCACACACAGTCGACGAGGCTCGTTACGAACTCAACGTGGAGAAACCCGGGTGAGAAGCAAAGACCGTAAGGGACGCTTGGCGCCTCTAGAACTCCGCCACCGCCGACGACACCCGTTGACTTTGCGACAGGATCTTCGAGCCGGGATTCGTCGACCGCCACACCTTCCTTGAAGGCGCGACGCAGGGTGCACACGACATGAAGGTGCGCCGCATGCTGAAGGCCATGGATGCGGTGCGCCAGCTACGCGCGAGCGACGGCGACGCCGACACCGAAGCCGTGGTCGATGCACTGAACAGGATCGCGGCACCGGGCATTGGGACCTTTTGCGATGCCCTCACGGTGCTCAAACCGGAAACGGCACCGACGAAGTCCAAGGAGCGTGGCCTGGGTGTCAAGGGGCTAGGCCCCAAGGTGGTCTCGAAGCTACGTATCGCCTGTACGCTGGTGGCGCTCGAACTGAAGCCGACGACTTGGGTCGCCCGCCTGTTTCCAGACACCTGGGAGGAGCAGATGCCGAAGACCGTGGCCAACTTGGCGAAGCCGACCGCACCTGCGCAGCGTCCACCGACAAAGCGCAAGAAGACGGCATGAAGACCCCGGGTGCATATGTTTTTGCGTTGTTTGATGATGCTGTAATTGTTGATGATGCTGTAATTGTTGTAGACTTTAACAAGTTGGTGAGACAACACGTACATAGATGATACATCAATTGTAAATGCGGTCGGTAGCCGACCAACAAACTACCCGAATATACTTGCATACATCCGTACCAGCTATGTCACGTGTTCATCGCCGAGTAGCATGCGGGTCTTATTAAGGTCGACATCTCCGAGTGGGGTTCTAGTTACATGCTCCCCCAAACAGTTACATGCACTGCCAAAAAGTTACATGCACTACCAAAAAGTTACATGCAGCACCAAAAAGGTGCCGACCAGACTACAACCTAGCAATCAGACCACCTAGCGCTCCCTCCGCGTGCCGACTACGCCGCCGTGCAGCCCTTGCCCTTCCTGCCCTTCCTACCCTTCTTCTTCTCCATGCTGTCCTTGCCCTGCTTGCCCCTCTGCCCCTTCCTCCCCCTGGCTTTAAAATCGTGCTCCATCTGCACGTCACACGGCACCGCGATGCCGACCTCCTTGAGTTTCGGCCCGGCAACGGGGCACATTCCCCAGAACGCCATGGTCTCCACCATCGCTCTAGCGATCACGACAGCTTCGACTTCAGCAGCCCTCCCCGGATAGACCTTTTGCAGAGCGAGACTTTGCAGCGCCTGCGCGACGTTGTGCGCAACCTCCTTGACGGGTTGCACCTTGTCGATCTCGACCTCCAGCACCGCCTGCATAACCTTCTTGAAGACAGCGGTGGTATCCTCGCTGGCACCGACTACCATCGCCGCCACCTTCCCCTCTCTCACAGCATTGACCACAGCCGCATCATCGTTCTCAACAAAGCACCACAAGGCGCAAGCCGATGCCGACCACGCTTGTGCCACCAGCTCCGTCTTCTCCGCCGCGCTCGCAGCGACCTTCCCATACGCCGCGCACATAGACACGCGACCAATCATGGCCGACATCATAGCATCCACCTTCTCCTGGCCTTCCTTCGTGTCGGCGTCAACGGGGAACCAGATCGCCGGCAAGAGAGCGTTGTGGTGCGCATCACCTGAGCTCGTGTACGCTCGATACATGCCGAGGATCTCATCGAACCTGTCACGCAATCACATAAAAACCGTACTACAATCAGGGACTCCGACATCGTCATTAGCCATCGACCTAAGGGTAGCCAACTTACCGTGTTTGTGGAAGGTACGCGCCCCATGCCCATATCACCGTCCACATCCTTGTCGGCAGGATCCTGACCTCCTCCCACACCCTCCTCCACTCCTCCATCTCCGTATCCCTCAAGCCGGTGAGCTCGTCCATGAGGACCTTGCTGACATAACCGTCGTATACGATGTATGCAATCGAGTGCAGGTACGCCAGCTCCATCTTGTCGCGCGACTTGCCGATGTATCGATTTATGCCGTGCACCTTAATCTCACCCACCCACTCTAGCTCGTCGCCCGACTTGTTATGGCGGATGCCATGACCCCTGCATCCATGCTCCTCCTCCTTCTCACTTTCCTCCTCCTTCTCCTTCTCCTTCTTCTCCTTCTTCTTCTTCTCCTCCTTCTCCTTCCCTTTCTTCGCCAACGTACCCTCGCCGACCTTCTTGTCCTCCTGATACTCCGCCGCCTTCTCCTTCCCTTTCTTCGCCGACGTACCCTCGCCGACGGACGTCCCTTGCTGACTCTCCTCCGCCGCCGACACCGCCCGTGTTTTCCTCTGAGTGCTCGCCCTCCCTAACCCTTCCGGCTAAACCCTTCCGCTTCGCCTTTCCGTCGCCGACGGTCCCAGTGGTCGTCCTTGGCACCGCTGAACCACCTGGGGGACTTGCCGAGGGCTCCAAATGCGCCGTGTCTGAGATGGCCAGAGCAGGGGGGGGCCCGGGGCGATGTACCGCTTTCAACAGGTCCTAGATGGCAGCGAGGTTGGCGTCGTTGTGGCCTTTCGGCGCCTGTGCAGGGTCACCGCCTCCGCCACCGGTGGCTAGCGCTGCACTCACGCCCTTCTCTGCCGCCGCATCGACAACAATTGCACCGGGTGTGGGAGCAGCAATGCCTGTTGACGTCGGCGTTGCGCTTGAGCCGGCTTCCGGCTGGGTCCGTGTTGGCGCTGCTGCACTACGTGCGCCTAACCGGGCGCGAAGCAATGCGGACTTTGGGTCCGCGGGAGGACGGGCGGCGACCAGAGGCGCAGACGGTCGGGCGTTGGACGTTGTGGCGGCGGCGACCTGCGGAGTGACAGAGGGACGTGCTGTTTCGGGAGGGGCGGCACCGACCACGGGAGGCTGCTGCACGTCCCTGCGATGGGCCTCTATGTGGTGGGGCATTTCCCTGAGCGAGTTCGCCTTATTGGCGGGCGGAGCATCGCGGTCAGCCGCAGCGTCCTTCGCGTCGCCCATGGCGGCAGGCCGGCCTGCTGGTGCTGGAGTTGCCGCGAGGGCTGGCCCATCGTTGTTGGCGGCTGACTGGCCGACCGGCGCACTGCTGGCCGGGGGTGGGTTGCGGGGAATCGCCGTGGTCCCCGCCACCCCCACAGACGGTCCCTTGACGGTTCTGGCACTGCCATCGACCGCCGTTTGAGCGGTTGGGATCTCATTGTCGGCGACCAAGGGCGGGGCTGTTGGGCCAGCGTCTTGAGCGGCAACCTCGTCGGCAGGGCCCCCATCTGCACTGCAGATTCCATCACCCTTGCTGTGCGACCTTATTACCTTGGCCCCATGTTTCTTGAGCTGGTCGACCACGCTCTGACCTTGAGTCCGCGAGCCGCCAGGCCCCACCGCGCCGACGCCGCGGCTCCCATCAACTCCCTTGCTCCGCTTAACACTCGTTGAATCGCCTCCGTCTCCCCCGCCGCCTCCGGCCACCCTCTTCTGACCCTGTTTCTGGGCATCATGTCATTGCGCATGGCCGGCGTCGTTGGCCGACGGCGACGACCCACGTCGACCAGCCGCCACATTGCCGATCATCTCGGTCATTACCTTCATCCCGGACGCAACAAACGACTGCTGTGTGACCTCCGTCACCGCTTTCAGCACGTCCGCCTTGAACGCCTTAAGGAACTCTTCTGGGATGGCTTGAGTTGGGGCGGGAGGAGGAGGTGGCGGCAGCGGCATGACGATGTTGCGTGAAACCGCGGTGGCAATGTTGGTTTGCGCGGCGCCGATGTGGCTGATGATGGTCTCCTCCAAGCCTTTCCACACGGCGTCCAGGTGCTCGACTACACATGTTACCCCTTTTGCGCGTTCGACTGCCATCGTTCCTTGGGGATCGTCAATATCCTTCAACCAGTCCACTACCTTTTGGGAGACCGACTTCGTAGCGCCAATGGCATCTGAGATGTTGTCAGTGATGATGTCGGTAATGGTGGTCGACATGGCCGAAGTGGCGTCTTCGATACGTTTCGCCGCATTCTTATCGGTGGCGGCGACCTGGGCGGTCAACCCCGTGAGCTTGTCGAGGAGTCCAGCTACCGCCTTTGCCAAGATGTCGACCCATCCCGTCTGTTCACCGAGTGACTTTTGCAGGCATGCATTGTCGGCCCTCAACCTCATGTTCTCCGTTCGCAGCTGCTCGACGACGTCCAGCGGTGCCTGCCGACCGGACGCGGAGGAACCGGGATGACCACGCGCCGCCTTCTTCTTCCTCGACCGCTCCCCCACGGCCTTCACCGCGGTGGCCTCGGTTGGCCCTTCCACGCATGCCTGCTTCGTGGCCGCTGCGGTATCCCCTTCACCGACCTCGATGTCGACAACTTCCTTCCAGTCGCCAACCACATCGCCGACCACGACCTTCTCACTCCCCCCGGTAGCCGCCTCCACGCCGACTTTCTCCTCGTCGGCATCATCCCCTCCCCCTTTCACAACATCCGCCTCCATGCCGACTTTCGCCGCTCCGTCTTCGTACTCCACCACCTCCTCCAGTATCTCCCACTCCACCTCTTCGTCCTGCTCCCCCACTTGCTGCTTCTCCGCCTCCCCGACATCCGCCTCCTCCTCCGCCGAGCCCCAATCCTCCTCTTCATCCTCCTCCTCCTCCTCCTCATCCGCCTCCTCCTCCTCCTCCTCCTCCTCCTCCTCCTCCTCCTCCTCCTCTTCCTCCTCCTCCTCCTCACGATTCCCATGGTGCTCGTCTTGCTGATACTCGTTATCATCCTCCGCGTTCTGATCCCCGCTACTGTCCTGGTGCTTCTCCGCGGTCCGAGTCACCGCCCTTCCTGCCTCCTCATCTGCCTTGTCGACGCCGCCTCCGGGCTCTCCGAGCGAAGTCCCACACGCAACGTCGACGGTGTGGGCGACAGGGGGATCCTCGCCGTCGTCGTCACAGGCGTCGGCCGCAATTCCAACAAGGCACGCCCGTTTCCGGGCGACGTGCTCATTGACGAATGTTATTATCCCATTCTGCAGCGCCTTCAACCCCGAAATGTTGACATTGTCCATGCTGGTCTCACTGCGACGGTGGTCGCCGGTCAGAAGTTCCAACCTCCTCACCACCCAGCACATTGCGCTTATTGCTAGCAGGCCGAAGCCCGCGTCCCCGTCCCGGACGACGTCGGGCACTTTCTGCATACAACAATGCAGAGAGAACGGATGAGCACCGCGTTAGGCAATCGCATGGCGCAAGAAGGACACACTATAGGACGGTAAGTCGTTCGGAACTCACATCTCGAATGGGTGAATTGTAGTCGGCGAGCCTGTCGATGACCTCTTCATCGGGAGGCTTCGGCCACTCCCACTTCCTACCATCGCGGCCCATCTCCACCAGGACCGCCGCCCGGAAAAACCCAAAGCAACATGGCACAGATAGTTGGTAAGCATGATTTACGCAGCGCTGCAAAATGGCCTGCGTATTCAACAACTCTATCGAGCTCACTTCAGCACGCGTATCGCCTCGTCGCGGTGCCACTTCTTCGCTGTCTGCGGGTCCACGTGTCAGATCGAGGTCCTGATCTTCTCTCCCCCGGCCTTCAACAAGTCGTCGGGGTAAATGATGACAACGACGCTGCAATGTGCTCCTGGAAGCGGTGCGATGCTGCACAGGCAAGGCACGACGAAGTCGTTCAAACCAAAGCACCGACATAAGATGCGTGACACAGCATTACGACTCGTTAAACCAGCTCACCCCGAATGCAGGGGGATGACCGCTACGTCGGCGTCGAAAACCGTCGCGAAGCATGTGTGGTCGTCCTGACCCATCGCCGCCCGAAGCCGGCCGATTCCTATCGACCACAATCGCATCTTGGCCTCCGTCGCGATAGTCTATGATCGCCTGCACGCACGCATGGGTATTAGGGGTGAGTGGGGAGGTTCACGACATGACGTTGGATACGTCGGTAAAGGAACCGCCAACCGACGGGGGATGGCAATGATATGACAGTGCACCACCCTAGCCCCGTGGCAGTCAATGAAGCCTACCGATGCGGGCACAACCACGTGCCAACACCGACGTATTGGTGAAATCGGAGATCTTGATATCCCTGACACCTAAAGTCGGCGTCGACGCTGCGTTGACCAGCAAGGTATCCCTAGGACGACACAAGTCGGTGTCGACGCTGCGTTGACCAGCAAGGTATCCCTAGGACGACACCAACATCCCTATACGGAGACTCACTTGAGGCCGAATCCCAAGCAACGGGCGGTGAACTCTAGCCTATGATCTGCGAGGACGGCGAAGTCGTGTTCATCGAGCTTGGAAGTGAGCCCACTACTCAGGTCGAGATACAGAGGGAAGTCGGCGCTGCTTCGCCGGGTTTCGCTTCGGCCGCCATGGCGGGGTAGGGAAGTGACTACAGGCTAAGGGATGAGACTGTGGGAGTAGGGCGCAGAGATGAGCAAATTGTAGAACGAGAAACGAAATGCTGAAAATGAGGAGCGATGCCTCCTTCCACCAAGAAAAGGGAGTCGGTGCCCCACAGGCAGGTTGAGGCCTCGCCCAGGGTTCGTGGTGCCTGGCTCGGCAGGGTTTGGTGGCAACGCCCAGGGTTCGTGGTGCCTGGCTCGGCAGGGTTTGGTGGCAACGCCCAGGGTTCGTGGTGCCTGGCTCGGCAGGGTTTGGCGGGCTCGTGCACAAGTGGCACAAGTTCTCCTTCACCGCCGAGCCAGCAAGTCGATGTCACGTCCCCTGGCCTCGGTCGGCCATGGGACGCAATTTCGCATGCGCGCGGTGCGTCGTTTCATCCGACACGTATCGATTTCGCAGCGGATCGCGAAAAATGTGCGCCGCAAAGCGACCAAATTCAATTTCGCATCGATCGAAATTTCGCATGCGCACAATGCGAACCCACAGGCGAACATGTGGCGCCACTGCAACGGGTCGCGAAATTGTCGAGCGTCCCGAGGGGAGCCCCCGAATTTCGCATGGGCCTTGCCTGCCCGTCCGGGCAGGCCGGGATGGGTTACTAGGACGTCGCGGGCAGGAGGGACGGGTGGGCTGCCATCGCGCTAGGGTTACTTTCCCTCGCGCGAGGGGTCGCCAGTTCGCCGACCCCACCCGGTAACGTGGGTTGCTGTTCACTTTCGGAGCGGGGTTGCGGGGCGGCGGTCATGCGCTCGGCCCAGCCCTGGGCCAGGCTGGCGGGCCCGCACGCGCGCCAGTTGCCCGCCTCGTCAGGCCCGGCTCCGATGACCCCTCTCGACGACACAGACAATTCGGCTCCAACGACCGATTTGCGCTGGGATGTTCTGCCTTGTCACAGCTAGCCCTTGTCACAATATGCTGCCCACGGCCAGGATACACCACATATAGCGTGTAGTATTTTCTATCCAACCGTGCATGCCCCGAAGGGACGGCGCCAAAACTGGGGGTCCAACACTGCCATGGCTCAGGAGAAATGGGTTTGGCTGGCGAGGAATGCCTCGGATGAGGGAGGCTCTTCGTTTCAAAGTCTGAATTGAGTTTTGGGTGCATTTTTTTTCTCATTGACCAAGGCGCGATTTGTGAACTTGGTATTAGGTTGAAAGGCAAACGAAAAGATAAATAATCACACCCTAGTAGTATACTGAAGCAAGCGAAAAGTCGCGACTTTGGGTAACACACCCTGGATCTTGACGCCGCCGTCCTCGCACCATATTTTAAAGTGATTAAAGATTACCGTGGGAGATTCTTTTTCTTGTTTTTTTTCATTCACCTCTCTTGTCATCACCTAGTACTAGTAAGTTTGCCACGAAGGTCTGAACCACGAGCAGCAGCAAACAGCATCATCCGCAGCACACACGACGCGCACCCAGCCAGTACTACTAGTCTAGGAATCTGGCGCATCTGGTTCATGTGATTTGAAATCTGACCTGAGAAACCATAGTACCCACACAGACCTACTACAGCATGATGACGGTTTCTCACACCAATGCCAACACCACCAGCAGCAGCAGCAGCAGCAGCAGCAACCACCAGTGCCGGCAGCAGCAGTTCCCTCGGCGGCACAAGCAGCAGTTGCTCTATCGCCACCAGGTCATCACCGTTGCCATCATCGTGCTCATGATGGTTTCGCTGCTCGCGCCAGAGTCCCGTGCTGCCAAGGTCAAAAGCGCTCAATGTAAGAAAACTCTGGCAATACAATGTCATGATGATGATGAGTCCACCTGGCCGACCTGTCACTGGTTGCGATCGAAGACTCTGGCAAGCTGTCCTCTCTCTTTTCCTCCTCACTTGTTTGCACACATGCTACAACTCTTTCTTTGCAAGCGCTTCCTATAGCTCCTGCAAGTCATTATCATGTTGCGAGCAGTGCCTAAATCTGATGCTACAAATATGATCTTTCAGAGTCTATTGTAAATTGTGTTGCCTTCTCCTCATTCTCCTTCTCTTTCCCTCCGCACTTTGTCGCACACTCTCCTCTACAACTCCCTCCTTGCACGCGATTCCTCACAATCACGACGTTGCGTGCCGTCTTTGAATCTCAAGCTACAATGACAGTATGATCTCCCAGGGTCTGTTGTCGCCTTTTAGACGGTCATCATCCCAGATTCTAACTCTGCAAAATCCTACCCCAAATCATATCACACAGTTTCCTCTCGAGGCCACCCTGCGGCGGTGTGTCACCCTAAGGGCTCCGGCTACCTGACACTCAGCACAGCAGCTGCTGTTGCACCCGGCGATCTTACCCATGACATGCTCGCCCCACTGCCACGCCCCCTATAACCCGCGTCCTAGACCACTAGCCAAAGCGGGGATAGTTCAGGTGCAGCGGTTAGCCTTTTAACTCTTCATGTAAGCCTGCAGGCATTACAGCACTCCTCCCCCCGAACCCCTCCCCCCACCTCCCCCCGTCCCCCCGCCCTCTCTCACATGCAAGTTGCTCCAGTCATGTTTCACACGCCAGGCCTGGTTCGCTAGGAGACAGAAAAGGGGTGGCGGATGTGTCGCCAGTAGCAGCGGTTAAAGTGGGTGGCGGATGTGTCGCCGGTAGGGCGGCGGTTAAAGTGGGTGGCGGATCTCACTTCTCGCGGCTGCACCCTATGGCCGTACTGGTAGCAAGGGGCATTGCTTCTGTCTCAAACATTCTCTTCCCACCTCAGAGTCGGTCCGGCAGGAGCTGGAGTGCAAAAGAGGCATGTATTGGCCGCCCTTTTGTGGAACTGCGTCCCTGTGAAAGGGCATATGTTTCATGCAAGTTGCTCTGGTCCCGTGTCCCACGCCAGGGTTGGTTCTCTAGGAGCTGAAGCAGGAGTGGGCCGCGTTTACAGGGAGTGGCACGTGGTTACTTGGCAACGACTGTGGTGCCATCAATTCTGTTTTTTGCAATAGCGATGGCGATGTCACCAGATTGTGAGTCAAGTCAACTAGTCACTGCTGAGTTGTGACGCCCTGCTGTTGCCTATCGGATGATCTCCGTGTTGGTCCCTTTCCCACCTAACAAGTTTTTTCGTGAGCCAATCCTCCTTTCTGGGACACACATGTGAACAGTACTTGGTGCTTGCTATAGTTTTGTAATTGCAGTCTGCTCTGTTAACTTAGGATTGGTACGTTCACAACCGATTCACACCCTTTGGCACAACCCCCGTTTTCCTTAAAGCACTGAACATCTGCCTGCCCCTGTTTGCTTTGTGCACGGATCTATAGCACTGCTCAGCTACCCGATGTGTCCCACGTCCCCCATGTGCCCCATGTGCCCCATGTCCCCCATGTCCCCCATGTCCCCCATGTCCCCCATGTCCCCCATGTGCTCATGTCCTCCATGTGCCCCATGTGCCCCGTGTCCTCCGTGTGCCCCGTTCAGGGACCTGACTAACACAGCGCTCAAGGGCAGCATACCCACCAGCATCGGCTCCCTCTCTCAGCTAAGCTCCCTGTAAGTGCGAAAGAATCCAAAACACGACGACAAATAGTACACGTGTACGTGGCTGAGTGAATGGCTGCTACATGGCTGGGTGCCCGTACTCCGCCCACCCCCTGTCTTTTATCAACCACCCCCATGTCTTACTCCAACCACCTTCTGCCCGGC